CACTGGGAAAGAGCGGATCAACCAAGACGTGACTTTGTGACAATAACCGGCATCTGCGCAAGTATACGGCAAAATAAGCATACCCCTGGCTGAATTTAAGACCCGGCTGCATCTAAGTACAGCACAGAAACACCAGTTCGGCATTTTTTCGACAAACTTAACTACATGTTTCACGACTGGCGGCAATTCGTGTACGCATATGGGGGCGAAACCGGCTGGCGTGGAAACGCAAATATAGGAATGGAGGCAGCAGATTTATCGATATGTATCAAAAAACCACGGTCAGTGTATTTAAATGCTGGAGTCAGGCGAGGGGGGGGGGTGGCGGAGGGACACAGGTTAATGGCGGTGGGGCGCTGTTCGGTAGGAGGGGTTTAAATGCATCGCCAAACGCCGGTGGCAACAGCTGTCCTGCAGCAAAGGCCGGTAGAAGAGTAGAGGCCTACGGCAGGGGTATGAAAGACGAACCCGAGCAAAATCGCAAGGAAACAAGACGGCAGGGCATGATGTAGTTCGAGGCACATGAACGGCAAAACGAAAGGTTACGTGCACGGAATGAAGAGCTCGAAGTGAGGAGGAGAAAGAAATGAAAAGTAAGAACTAGAAATCATTGAAAAAAATGGGAAACAACTGTAGGCAGGTGTTGACCCCAGTAGAGGAGGAGGGGCGGAAGCGGGCCAGAGTCAGATGATGAGCAGTAAAGGGATCAGCACAAAAGTCCAGATAAAAAAGGGGTCCGAATTTATTTTAACAAGTATCACTAAAAAACGGGATCGCGTGATAAAAGAGACCTTCCTCTTTGCAAAAAGATATTAAAACTTAGTGTGAGCAGGAGAACAGGGCTTTACTGGGGGGCTAGCTGAGTATCATGGGGCGTACGGGTGGTTTCGAACCCAGGTTCATGGACAGAGTCCGCCTTCTTTGTGTCTCTGTCATGTCCTTGAAAGCCACCGAACAGGCCTGTAAGTGTAAAGAGGGAAAGGATGAAAAAAGTAAGGAAGCCATGTTAATTAAACGGAAGAGCGTTTAAACCCGGACGAAATAAAAACGAGATTGAACAGTGATTGAACGCTAAACTGACTGGTGCTCCATCGCGCAACAGAGACACGCTTCGCTGTCTTCTACATAAGCAATGAGTATAGACTTCGCTGAAAGTACTCTGTGCTGCCCATGTTAAAATAAACTTGACGATGAAAGTGAAATGGCTAGTTATCACCTGACGCATGAACATCACAAAGACAACATAGAATGGAAATTGTAAATGTCAAGTATTTTGCCAAAGTGTGGAGACGCTCCTCGTTGTCAAGACTGCCGAAAGGTTCGATTCAGACCTCCGCAGCACAGATACACGCGGCAGTCATCTCTCCCGACTAAAATCACCAGGATACCCAAGATGAAATGTCAGAAACGGACTCCGCAGATCCAGATATAGGAATCGACCGGCGCGCTCATTACCAGTGAGATACCGAAACTTTGATAGCGCAGCCGCATTATGGTGAAGACGTGAAGCGAAAAATTCATATTCAGCTTATAAACTGTGATTTGGTAAGACGGTTGTCAAGT